CGATTAGTCGTTGATTAATCGATTAATCATGGCAGCCCTATTGCTAACAGAGTCCAAATGATAAGCACGAACTTGTTCAATATGTTAGCACTAAAAATATGTGTTAAGGATCAGTCTCAGCTACCACCACAACAAGTTTTAAAGCAGCGTCTGTAAAACTGATTGAGTTGTAGCCACTTTTTTGTGCTTTTTAAGGTCACCTGGCGGCCACGTTGAATCAGTTTGACTCTAAAAGTTGATCCGTTGTAGAGGTACAGCTAATGACTATTTCCTGAAAAGTTCTTATAATTTAGTCCAGTGGGTCATAAGATATTTTGCTAACAGACGGCAAGAACATACTAGCCTGCCCTGAATGATAAAGGGGACAAATGGTGACATAACTGTTGGTGGGGAAGGAGTTAAAAGCCCTCCATGACTCTCTGCATTTACCGGAAAGTCCCACAAGTGACGCTACAGTCAAGCAATTAAGAGTAAATTAATTACAGAGCAGTGGATGGTAGCTGAAACCCGGAGGATAACCCAGAGCTTCACAGTAAACAAGTCCAGACTGCACAAGAACCAGACCTGGCTTAATAAAAACAGGAAGCAGGCGAGCTGTGGACCCACAAACTTCACTTTAAAACATGTTTCAAACTTTTTCCACACATGAAACTTTCAGCTGCTCACAGTTTAAGTTCAAGCTAACAGTTAAAAAAGAGACAAACCAGCAGAAGAGAAAGAAACGAGGGGGAGAAACAGAAGAAAAAAAAGAGAAAAAGTTTGAAAGTTAACGCCCAGAAGCTGAGGCTCCTCCTGCCGGGCCATATTAAAAGCAAATGTCGAAGCTGAAGCGGGGCAGAGGGGGAGTCTGCTGGGTGTAAAAAACACAGGAGCCACGGAGCAGAAACTCGGCAGACCTGCGCAACTCTCTCAACCAGCACCGCCTTTCTCCCCCCCTTTTTTTTTCTTTTTTCTTTTTTATTTTTTTATATAAACATACTGTTGACTTGATTCTGGTCGCTGCAAAGATGTCCACAGCCGTGGTGTCGCCTTTCTTCGACTTTGAAATGATGAACAAGGTACTTTTAAAAACTTTTTSTCTCTCTCTTACCGTGTGAAGTTATGCTAGCAGGAGCTACAGGAAAGTTTCGGTCTGTGGAGGAATGACGGAGCTGCCTCACCGCGGCCCTCACTCTGTCTGCTGCTCTTGTTTTTTTTTCCTCCTCCGTTTGTGTCGCGTCGTGTTTTGTCTCAGGTGTTGTGTTAAAAAAGCAGTTTGTAGCATTAGTTCCACGTTCAGTTTGTGTTAAAGTTACAGCCCGCTGTGAGCACGCGCCACAGCGGAGAAAAGCTCACGAGCGGTTTCATCACGGGCGACAAAAGTTAGCTAAAGCTGATTCGGGCTAGCTTAAATTATGAAAGTTACCAAGCATAGTAATTAATCAAATTGGCCCCGCTCTCTTATCCTGCAAAACTCTAAAATGTTTTAATGAAAAGGATGAACTTTGTTTACGGTTTTTTTGTATTTAAATGACTTCACTCAGGCGTCCTTTTCCCGCTTTTAAGCTCTAACTCTGCCTTGTTGTGTAAATCAGTAACTWGGCTGAAGAAGCAGGCAGGGTTTCCATTATAACTGTTTTCAAAATGTATTTTGCAGGCTTTCTTTGTAGGCACACAGGCCTCTCATGGGCTCCATTTATTAACAGACACATTCCTCAGCAGGGCAACATGCCAGACCAGCTGCTGGTCTATAGGCCTGTATCCTGTGCTGTCACAGCCAAACTGAACAGTTGTGGGAAGTTTACTTTTTAATCCTCCCTTTCTCTGTTTTCTTTTGAAGTCGTGATGGTGTTAAAAGTGTGCGCAGAATGAGTTCTGACATGTTCGGTTTCCCTTTTTTCTTGCAGAACAATAAACTTCTCAGCTACAACAACAACCTGGGCGCGCCTCACCCCATGTCTGTCCCTTGCACTGGCACCAGCGTGCCCATCTCCAGTGCCGCCGGACCCCTGCTGGACAGGAAGGCGGTGGGATCGCCCTCGGTGGGAGGCGTGTACCATCGGCGGCACTCGGTCAGCAGCACGAAGTTCAGCCAGAACCAGTTCCTGAACAGCCTGAAGGCAGTGGACCACTCCTCGCTTATCTCAGGGCCCGGCAACGCCGGCAGCAACAAGGAGAACCGCCTGCGAGACCGCTCCTTCTCGGAGACGGGCGAGAGGCTCATCAACAAGTGCCTGAGCCCGGCCAGTCCCACGTGTGGCAACAGCCAAGTGAACTCCAGCCGCTACAAGACGGAGCTGTGCAGGCCCTTCGAGGAGAACGGTTCCTGCAAATACGGCGACAAGTGCCAGTTCGCCCATGGAATCCATGAACTTCGCAGCCTGAGCCGGCACCCCAAATACAAAACGGAGCTGTGCCGCACCTTCCACACCATCGGGTTCTGCCCGTACGGGCCCAGGTGCCATTTCATCCACAACGCTGAGGAGCGCCGCGGGCCCCCCCAGCAGTCCTCCCCCCTAAACTCTTCAAACAAGATGGAGAGGCCTCGGCTGCAGCACAGCTACAGCTTCGCCGGTTTCTCCAGCTCGGCGGGGCTGAGAGACAGCCCCACCTCGGTCACCCCTCCTCCCACGTTCTTCCCCGACGAGGTCCTGGACTGGCCCAGCAGCAACCCCTTCACCTATTCCAGCCAGGAGCTGGCCAACCTGTTCGGGCCGAGCCTCAGTGCCGGCTCTGTAGGCACAGAGCCCAACACCCCCGCACCTCCGTCTCCAACAAACACAGCGTTCCTCTTCAGATCTGTGTCCCCCCAGATGTTTGAGTCTCCATCCAGCCCAAGAGACTCTCTGTCAGACCAGGAGGGCTACCAGAGCAGCTCCGGCTCAGAGTCCCCCTCGCTGGACACGTCCCGCCGCCTCCCCATCTTCAGCCGCCTCTCCATCTCTGACGACTAGAGCGCATGCAGGCCACCAGTGACACGGAGTACATGGCACTCCCCTCTACCCCCCCCCCCCCCCTCTCCCCACCCAAGCATTTTGGACAGAAGCCCTTGGGGATTCTTAATCTTTTCACAGCCAATTACAAGGCACTTTAAAGTGTAGGATTTGTTGGTTTAGTTCTGATGAAGCTCTATCCATCAGGCCCACTCATCAGTGCCCCCCCACTTCTCATTGCCCCTGAGCTCCTTCACTGCATAAGGATGTAATCAATCAAGGGAACTTTTTAACAAAAACAAAAAGATCATTTCATCCCAGCTGATCTGCRCATAAAGTTTTAGATTCACACCGTGTGTCATAGTGCCAAATGAGAAAATGGAAATTGAACAATGAAAATCACGAGAACAAGAATTGACTGTTTTTGCCAGGTGCCACTTGCCCCCCCCCCCCC